TTTCCTTCTTGGTTTTATTTTATTTTATTTTTATTTTTATTTTTTTGAGACAGGGTTTCTCTGTGTAGCCCTGGCTATGTACCTGGTACTTTTTCTCCAGGACTGAGAGCCGAGTTACTGAGGAAGGTGAGGACAGCACTGTGTTTCTCTGAGTCACTTCCCTGCACCCCACACCAGTGACTTTCTCCTGTGCCTCCATCCAGCTTATCCTAGCTATAATGCACTTTGGTAGAATCGTGCAGAAAACCAGTGTTAGATGAGTAGTGGGTAGATACACTCACAGCTATTTTCTGCCTGTTCCCCAAGATGAAAACTTTTCTCTCTCCATTCAGTGTCTCTACCATCTCACGAATACAACGGAGTTGAATGCCTTGCCTGCTACAGTTATGATGCCGCCCGGTGTGACACAGTTTCCCTGAAGTGCACAGGGGTAGAGACGAAGTGTCTTGAGGTTGCTGGCACAGGTATGAGTATTCCCTCAAGCATCTTGTTAAGAACACAAATCATTCATCACTATGCAGCGAATTATGGCAAATGTAGCAACTGTACACAGCAACATTTATTAAATTGATGCACGTGTAACTCTGTGATCTGAGAATGGTCAGGTGTGAGGTCCTGGTTCAGGGCGTGGCATGGGGGCTATGTTCATTTGTCAGCAGCTGTTTCCCAACTCACTTGTGGTTTCTGGTGGGTTTCAATTCCTTTTCTTCTGGTCTCTTCACAGACTATCATGGTGTTCTCATGACTAACCACTGGCTTTCCTCAGAGCAAACCATAGAGACACAGAGAAGGGGAGCCATGGATTTAATACTTCAATGTCAGAAGTGGCACATCATTTCCTCCTATAGACTGCTGGTAGTTTAGAGCAACCCTGATTGCACATGGGTGGAAGCTGCCCCACAGGAGATGGAAGAGAGAGACTCTGTGGGGCATCTTTGAAACCTGTCTCCACATGGAGAAAGTGGTCATATGGGGCCATGTACTTGTAAGATTTAGAAGGACCCATTTGTTGGGAGACGAGAGTTACTGAGGGGAGGGAAGGGAAGAGGATGAAGCAATGTAACAGCTTCCCCTACAAGAGTCAGGTTTGGGTACCTGTGATTCTGTGATGCCCAGCAATGGGAAGGTGGCTCAATGGTAGTATAGGAGATGATGGGACTTCAGGTCCAGATGTCTTTGCCACTGCTGCCCTATGGCAACCAGAGGCTGTGATTAAGCACTCAAGTTTTACCTGGGATCAATCTAAATTTAGTAAAAGATACATGGGTTTTTTATTAAGGGAAAATTGTATACTTGTTATGAAGGACACATACACCATTGAGACAGGAACTAGGAAAAAAAAAACCTTAAGATTTTTCTTTCTGGAATGCACTGCTAGGAGGAGGAGTTGGCAACTCTTTACTGAACAATATATGGAAAGTTTCATGGAAGAAGTGGTGTTTTAGGAGCCAAATAAGTGCCGGGCAGTGGTGGCACATGCCTTTAATCCCAGCACTTCGGAGGCAGAGGCAGGCGGATCTCTGTGAGTTTGAGACCAGCCTGGTCTACAAGAACTAGTTCCAGGACAGGTTCCAAAGCAACACAGAAACCCTGTCTCAAAAAACAAAACAAAACAAAAAACCAAAACAACAACAACAAAAAACCATAGTGGACCCAGAGATTGATAGGTCTAGGGGCAAGCCCCGGTTTTACTTGGAAAGAATTTTGACAGAGGTTCTGGGGTGAGCAAGGGAAGGGCCCTTTGTCTAGATGAGTTGACACAAATGAAGAAAATGGGGTGTCACAGAATGCAAAGGGGGTATAAAGCCACCCACAATGGAGCAGTTTGCTTTGGGGATAGTAGATACCCGATACGTTCTATAGTTACTCTCAGAGGGAACTCAGAGCTCTAAGAAGAAGGAATGCCAGTTTGTGGGGGATCCACAATGTCTTCCCCCAGAGAGGGAGGGAAATGGTAGGGGAGGGAAGTCAGGTACAGTAGAAGGGTGTTAACCAACAGTTGAGACCCTGCATCTGGCCTTCCTCCTCACCTGCATCAAGCTCATCTCTCCTAGTGAGTAGGTTCCCAAAGGGCTCTGTGTTAGTCTTGTGCCTAAGATGTGAAAGTCCTTCTGTATGGAGGAGACAATAGAGCCAGAGGACAAGAAGGCCCAGACTCCACCGTCCCAGATGAAACTGTGCTCATGTTCTTACACAGAGGTGGAAGTTGTGGATTCTGGACCATTCTGAGCACAGTTCCCTTTCCAAGGATGTAGGTGAGGAGGGGGAGATGAAATGAGAGAGAAGAGTAATTCCTGAGTTTTTTCGTTAACAGAGGTGACTGACGCCGTTTCCCACTCTATGATACAAGGAATGGGTTGTGCCACTGAAACTGCCTGCAACTTGAAGAATATGACCGTCATGGAAAATGTACAAATCAATACCCACTGCTTCTCGGGGAGCCCTCCACTCAGGCCCATCTCATCTGTTCTGACTAGTCTCTTCCTGATGGAAGCCTTGCTTTGTCCTTTGGGGACTGTCACTTCCATGATCCTTCTTCACATCTAAACACACCAGCAACCTTTTATGACTCCTTTATCATCCAGGGGAAAAATAAAAACCACTAATTGTACTTTAGATGGAAAATGCTTAGCTTCTTTTTGGCACATGTCACATGTTTCACTGATCTGTGATTTCTTTCATGTCCCTATCTACACCTTGAGCCTCACCCCACCCCCAGAATGGTCAACACTTAACAATATGGGCTATACGCTTGTCTTCAGGGTAACCAAAGCTACAGATCTGGCAAGATGCTGCCTCAAAATATAAGCCCTAATACAATGAAAGAAAAGAAAATAATAGTGTTGGGAAGATAGCTCAGTTGGCAAAATGCCTGTTTTCTAAGTACAAGGATCTGAGTTTGATTCCTAGAACCCAAGTTAAAATCATCTGGCATGGTGTTTTGCCTAGTTCTCGAGACCCCAAAAAGACCACCAAGGAGCAGACTCACCAATGCAAACGTACAAGGTTTATTGTTAAGTTACAAGTGTTGGCAGGGACCCTGTGCAGCAAACTGGCACAGCAGCTCCAGGAAAAGGGTGTCTGGCTTCTATCATAAGGGGTTTAAAAAGGAAAAAAAAGACACAAGCAGGGTGGTACATGTCTTAGCTTCCCAAGATTGGGTAAGAGTAGATGACCTTTGGATTAATTGATTGTGGTCTAGGGGAATTTCAAAATTTTTACTAACAGTAACCCACAAGGACAGTTGTGGTGAGAAAATGTTTTCCCAGACTTAATCCTTGCCTGACCACCCAGTGGGGTCGGTTTGACTAGAGCAGGCATAATTTTTGATTTCTCTCAGAATTGTTTATGGCTCCTTGGCTGGAGCTGAATCAGCCTTGTGCCATGCAGAGAGTTTTTCAAGGTGGCTTTTTCTTAGGATGGAGTTAACTCCATCCTCTCTTGTTTACCCTGCTCTCTCAATAGAAGTATGTACTTGAATTCCAGAACTGAGAAAACTGATGCAAGCAGATCCCCAGACTAGCATAATGGGTGTTTTCCAGGCCAGTGAGAGCCCCTGTCTCAATCACGACAAAAACGGGAGACAGTACATGAAGTACAAGAGCTGAGGCTCCATAACTATGAGCACACACATACCACCCCCACCCCCACCTCCGAGCCACATGTGTGCAATTCTTGCCATGCACTCTACATGGCTTTACATCTTAGGAGAGATGGGCACTGGGATACCGGTAGAGGCTGTGAAGGCTATTATAAATGCTAAGCTTAAAGGCTGATGGTGCCTGAATTCTGGACGAAGAATGCTATCACTTCTCATGGTGGGTTCTGGGATGTTAGCAGCCACCATCACACTTCCTGTGATGCCTGTGAAGAGGTTTAGGCTGAGGAGAGAAGTCTTCCTACAATCCAAGCTTATACCTCCATGTGATGCTGATGCCACAGCACAGCAATTCTGCTTAGAGAGATCCTTTGGTTCTTTAGATCTGGTTTCTTACAGGGCCCAGTTTATCTCTGAAAACCACAGGAAAGAAAAGAGTGCCCTGGTAGTTATTTCTTATGTGGGGGTTGGCTCTCTGCCCCTGCCAGGCTTTATCCTGGATCTCTCTGGCTTCCTCTTTCTTCTTGGCACAAGCTCCACCATCCCTCAGCGTCTCTCAGCCTCTCCGCAGTGTTGTGTGACTGGAGGAGCACCCTGTTCCAGGCCTGCCTACAGAGTCCTTTCACTGCCTCCATGCACCGAAGACTGTGTGGGGTAGATTTTATATCCCACTGTGGGGCTGAGTCTCAGTATGAATGAAGATCTGCCCTTAGATTATTATTTGGAGGAGATTCACTAAAATATTGTCCAAATCAGGATGTCCATTGTATGACTACTACACAGGGAGAAATCTTACTGAGCTAATCTACTGGAATATGAAGGATTTGGACTATACCTACTAGCTTGATTGATAAAACCATCTTAATAGCAATGAGAGGATCACAGACCGGAAAGCAGGGACCAACCAAAAGGATTGTGTTGTCTTTCTAATATAAAAAAATGGTCTCAAACTATCTCCTGAGATTCAAGGGTTACTTTTATTATTTCCATCCAGGGTGGGATTTGTGTTAGCTTGAAGAGGTCAGGGGAGTCCAGAGAAAATGCAGTCATGTGAATTCTGGTCTGGGTAAGGGAGGAAGTTTCTCTTAGCCTTTGCCCTCAGGGATGTGTGAACACTGCTGTGGGGTGTATTTGATTCCTACACTGCTGTGGGGTGCACTCAACTCCTACACTGTTGTGGGGTGCACTCAACTCCTACACTGCAGTGGGGTGTGCTCAGCTCCTTTCAGTCATTTTTTTTCTAGCATAGAATTTATAGATCCACAGTGTTATAAATGCCAACTGTCTTAGCTCATTTGGAGCAGGGAGGGGTACCTGCGCTTATTCTTTGTTGAGAATAGAAAGCAAGAAACACATTTTGAAAAGGCACAGAACTTTCTAGAATTTGTGAGTTGTTTTCAATTCTGGCATGTCCATAGTTGATTTGGGAAATGATGCGTGCCCTTCGGTACTTATTGGTTAGTGAGGATTGGTTCCTTCTTCTCATGGCCAGAGAGTTGAATTTCAATAATGAGAATAGTTCCTAGCCTTTGTTGAGGGCTTTTGATGAACCAACCGCTGTTTTAAACAGTTTCTGTACTCAATTCATCCATGCAGAACTTCTGCAAGGCAAGCGTATTTCCTTCCCAATTTACAGATAAGAAGACAGGGCCAGAAAAGATAAGTGAGGTTGAGATTTCAATCCAATACTTCATGCAGGTAAAAGAATCAACTTGCTCACTCTAGCAGCTGTAGAAATGTAAAATCTGGGAACAGGATGTTTTGTTTACTTTTTGTTAACTGTATTAGCTCTCTCTCTCTCTCTCTCTCTCTCTCTCTCTCTCTCTCTC